TCAGCAAGCAAGCATACAGCATCAACTTAAACATATATCCCTTCTGCATGCCCTACACCAAATGTCCACAGGTTCTGTCCACAAGAGAAGTCCAGCAAGGTCAGTGAAAGTGCAAGCAAGCGTGCCTCTAAAGGGATAATGTCCAGATTTGAGTGGGGAGTGTAAGGACTGGCTGTGTTTAAAGAGATGGGCCTCTCTAAATTAGCTTCCACTGACAAAATCATCTTCCCTGCCCCACTGTTTTTTCTCTCACTAATGTAGGTTTATAAAGCAGTTTCTGATCTTTAGCTTCCTTTATCTCTTTTATAGCATGGGTTGGAGCCCTGGCCATGGGGATGATATTCTTCTGCTCTCCCATTGTGAGTATCTTCACTGACCGGATTGGCTGCAGAGCAACGGCAGCCTCAGGTGCAACCATCGCCTTCATTGGACTCCTCTCCAGCTCTTTCACAAAGTAAGGGTGAAATTTTGCCTTGAGGAGACATGTAATTTCCTGGCAAGCTGCTTTCTTCTGTTAATTGTTCTTTAATAGACCCTTTTGGCAAAGATCAGGTGTGGTTTCATTGCCTGGAAAACACTACAGCTCACGTGTCACTCACTCGTTTGCTTGTTCGCTCACTCACTCTTTTTTAATTCCCTCTTCCCCCTCCCCTCAAAGTTTTCTCTTATTCTTATCTTTAAGCAACAAGACACAAACCTTAGCCTAAGTTCCTCTAGGGCAGGGGTGGGCAATTATTTGGGCCACTTAAGTTTCAGCAAGCTGTTGTAGGCTGTGGGTGGGGGGAGAGGTGCTGACCTGGTGCCATGTGTCAGGGGGTGCTGGCAGGGTGCACTTGGCTGGGCAGGTGGGGGGTGGCATCAGGGAGCAGGATGGGCAGGCAGGGCTGGGATTGCAGGGCGGTGACAGCATGGGGAGGTGGGGTAGAGCCATGATTCACCCCCTGCCCATCCCTGCCCAAGGAACCGGTGCCCATTGCAGGCACGTGTGGGGAGCGGATTATGGCTCTGCCCTGGGCCCTGACCCCACACTGTCATCACCCTGTGATCCCAGCTCCAGCCCCTGCCCATCCCTCCTGCTCCCATACACTCCTCCCTGCTTACCTGCAGCCCCAACCCATATGCCCAGCTGACTGCGCCCTGCCCACGGGGTGCTGGGCCAGTCTCCCTGGAGCACCCACTACATCTGGCAACCCCAGCATTGGGTGTGGGGTGTACTGGCAACAACAGCTGGGCAGAGTCAGTGAGCCACCGCCACAGGGGCTGTCAGTTAGCCAAGTCCAGCTGCCATGCCACCCCCACCCTGCCAGACACCCAGGGGCGGTGGGACCAGCCACATGCATCATGGCCTGGCTGCTCCCCATGCCTGGACCGGGTGGGCCAAGGGACTGGCTGCAGGCTGGATTGAATCCCTTGGTGGGCCGGATTCAGCCCACAGGCTGTATTTTGCCCACCGCTGCTCTAGAGCTTGGCTGCACCCAAGGATTCTCCCTGCGGGAACTCCTGTCAAGAGGCTCTCAAATGTCTATGCTCCTGATTAGGAGTTTGAAGGTGTCCCTTATCTGGGAATAAAGTAACTCAGCAAAACAGCTCTGCATCTCTATACAGAAGGGTGCATTCTGACATGTAATTGTACAGTTAACCTACAGACAAACATTGTCAGACTAAAAAACATATTAAAAAAATTATAATCCACCTTCAGCAGGAAGAGTGAAAAAAATATTTGGAATTAAATTTGACCATGTAGGTGTGAAAGAGTTAATATCTTCTGCTAGTGTCTAAGGAACTGACAGCTGTGTTATTAGGCAAAATGGAAGCACAAACTGAATGTTTATGGGTTGTTTGGTTATATGCAACAGAAAGAAAATAGGGGAATTTAAATGTATTTTGGATTGGAAAGTGTTATTCCATTGGAATGTTTTGCCTTTGCAACACGCTGCGTTGAAAAGGCACAGAAGTATTATTCTTTTGTCAGTCCTTCTGAACTTTTGTGGCAAGTCCTCTTCCATGTATCCCATGAGGACAGTCATTAACATAAGGTTTTGATGGATTGATTTGGCTCTCTAGAACCTCAGACCTGATGCAGCCCTTCATTTCTGGAGATCCAGGGGGACTACCAAGTACATACGCCTGTATCTCCACTCTCCGTAGTATCTGAGGTTCCTAATTTAGATGTTGTTTATTTATCTATCCTAAAGTGAATTATCTTTGAACTTTAGTCAAAGCCGACATGAATAGAAGCATTGTCGTGGGTCTTATTTCAGCCAAAACCTATATGGTTTAAATTAAAGCACTTCCTGAAATGCTTCAAGCCATGTTTATTTGAAGGAAGGTGCCTTGTCCGCAGTATTCTCCTGCACCGCTCCCAGAGCTGGAAGACTTCACCACGGGGGGGATGGGGGCAGCAAAGATAAAGCAGAAGCCCAGAACAGTGGCCTTCGTGCCAGCCTTTCCTGTCTCCTTTCTGTGTCCGGGTGGGAAACGATCCCAAGGCCATACCACAAAGAGCAACTTGAAACGGACATTTTCAAATAAAGGAGCAGAAATCTCCGTGGGAAACTTATGCCACACAATCCAAGTGCACTGAGGAGGCCACCCGCTGTTCAGTGAAACTACGGGCATACAATGGCAGGCGTGCATTGCTGGCTTCAGCACAGGACCACACAGCAGGCGTTGCCAAAAGTTCAGGGGCCGTGTTTGGTCCCATTCCAGATCAGCGCATAGAGGAGCTTTGGCCTGAATTTCAGCCATTTGTTGGCCTGAATTTCAGCCAGTTTCAGTATATTCCTTGTCCCATCCCCCACAACCCCTGCCCATAACCAGCCTATCTTCTCACAGCCACACACATGCCCGTCCACCACTGAGCAGTATCGGAAGTCCTTGTGTGTCACAGAGTCCGGTTTCCTAACAGATTGTTTTGGAGCGTAGCTGGTGGTGTAGTGCACGCCGCAGCCTTGCAAAATGTCCTGGTGGTACCAATGCTACAAGTCAGATCCTTCTGCTCTACAGGCCACGTCTACTATAAAGCTTGACCAGCATAGCTATCTCTATCCTTCGACATTTTTAAGAGTAGGTTAGACAAACATTTATTTAAGATAATTTAGACATGGGCGATCCTGCTTTGAGCAGTGCGTTGGGCAAGGTGTCCTGCTAAGGTCCCTTCCAGCCCTACTTTGGGTGTGAAAAACATCCCAGCTACACCAATAGAAGAGAGGTTTTCTTAGCTTAGGTTATGTTTGGAGAGGTGGCATAGCTAAGCTAGGGTTAAAAGCACTTCTATTAGTGTACGTTCTCTCTCTGTGATTAAGAACTCCATAAGCTTAACTTTCAGGCATAGCTTTAGCAAGCAGATACTCTACTGTAGATAAGCCCAAGAGCATGAACTGCAACCACTTGATATGAATACAAATCAGTGGCAGGGTTTTGGGGGGTGTTTTTAGAAGCTGATTTCACTTCATGTAGAAAATTTACACCCTGAGAGCACCTGGCCAGTCCCAGTGGGACTGATACATGGGAAGTCATGGCGATAGAATAAAGGAAAATGAACTGCAGTTGTGAGTAATTTCAGACAGTTTTACTCTGTAATCCCTTTTTCCTTTCAAGCAGAAGTTTGACATTTCCTTTCTTCACTTGTGAAATGTTTGTGCAAAGCAAAGCTGGACTTGAGACTGTGCCACTTGGATGGTTTGGGGTTTTGTTTGGTTTTTGTCTAAAACAAAACAAAAATAGATCCTTTCCAGGAGGAGAACTTTAGAGCTAAAATCCATATTTCCTACTTTCATAGTCACAGCTAAATTCCTTCAGATGTCATATAAGGGTAAAATAAAAGTCCTCTGTATCTGTCCGGGAGGGTGTGGGGAGGGAGTGTCCTCTTTATCAGACAGCCTTAGGCAAAAGTGAACAAAAATCAGATGAGCAATGCTGCTTAGCTTGGCGGTCCTCCATCTCATTCATAAAGTCCAATTTTAAAATTTAGAGTCAACAACTTTTTGCTATCCCATAACAATGAGTAAGCTTTTATATAAGCCAGTCATAGTCCTCAGTTTCAAATAACATGTGCTGTAGGTTGTATGCACATAGCAGCTCCTGTATTCAGATGCAGCAGTGGTTCATCTGGTCAAAGTGCATGGAAACTTGAGATAGTAAAGAACTGCTAGTCTATTCCTCTACTAGTGCAGAATTGTTTCTTACCCTTTCAGGTCTTGCTGGGGCTTCTAGCAATCTGCATGTCAGTGTCCTTGACAGGGACCAGTGTCCTAAAGTTAATGCACCAAGTTGTGCAATACTCAGTTGACTTTTACTTCATTTTATGCCTTGATCAGGATATTTCTGTTTTATACATAAGCACAAAACCACCTTGCAAAATAAGATAACCAATTTTAAAGCAATTAAGGCAGGTCTCCCAAACCTTTCCCCCCCCCTTTTTAATACACCACATGTCCAAACTTAGTAACATTTATGGAAAATTGGGTTCACTGTGTTGTCCTCCCCCTTGTCATAGATTTCATAGACATTAGGGCTGGAAGGGACCTCGCAATATCATCAGGTCCAGCCCAGTGCCCAAAGGGCAAGAAGTCAGTGAGAGTCAAAGGATCCCAGCAAGATAAGCATCCAAATGTGTCTTAAAAGTGTCCACAGTAGGTGCTTGCACCACCTCTGGGGGGAGTCTACTCCAGGCCTTGGGGGCTCGGACAGTAAAGAAGTTTTCCTTTATGTCCTGCCTAAAATGGTCTTGCAGGAGTTTGTGACTGTTGGACTTTGTCATCCCTTGGGGTGCCCTGGTGAACAGGCATTCCCCCATATCCTAATGCACATCCCTTATGTACTTGCACTTTGGTCATGGATGCTTGCACTTCAGTTCCCACTCATGACATGAGAATCCCATTGATACAGATGGATTTGAACTAGGATTGTGTTTCCAAGCATCTATAAACTTGGTGGATCTAGCATGAATCTGCATCCACGCTTTGCTTATATCTCTATCTAAGCTGCTGTAAAGTGCCAGATGCAAACATCCTTGGACTTCAGAGTGTCTGAAATTCAGATCCAAACCCTATTAAGTCAGTCTGTGTTTAGTGTATGGCACTGATGGCATACTTGTAGTTGGACATGTGGTGTATTAAAAAAGGGGGGGAAAAGGTTTGGAAGACCTACCTTAATTGCCTTAAAACTGGTTATCTTGTTTTGCAACAGGCATACTCTTAACAGTAATAGTACCAAGGCTACCTCACCTCTTTTTCTGGTTTTCTGGTTTTGATGTCTTTTAACATACATTGTTACACTGTTCCCTAAAAGCTGCTGCTACTGCTGCTGTTCTAATGGGCTCTCTTACAAAGAGATAAACATCAGCTATGTTTAATGTTTAGTTTTTTTCACAATTTTAGCTGGGGTTTCTTGAGCAAAAGCAGGAAACAAGAATCAGAAATGTTTGGTATTTCAGTGCTGCTATCTCCTTCCATCTGTCAAACCTCTTCTCTGAAGACTCTCAAAACTTTCCATCCTGTCTTTCTGCCTCTGTAGAGTAGTCAGTTTTAGGGGCATTGGGAGGGGAGTTACTTTTTCCTTGAGGGCTACATAACCCCTTTTCTACCTGTCTTATGCCCCTTTGCTTTCCTTTAAACCTCTAAATTGGAGTGGTCTCCTTTGCACAGAAAACTGAGTATCGGCCGGCAGCTTCTCTGCTGAGCCATCTGAACTGCTCTCTTTTCTCCCCACCAGCACTGAGCGATCGACATAGTCCCACTCTGTTGCTCTGAATCCAGGGAATGAGAACTCAGGCTCTGAATTAGACCCAGGTGGGTTGAGTGGGAACATTTAATTCCCATGGGGTTGCTAGTCCCTCCTTTCCCTTCCTCCCCTCCACTACTCAGTGTTAACATGGTGAAATGATCATGTTATTTATCCTCTGCCGTGCCAAGTTATTTATCCTCTGTAGTGTGCTTAGAAGTGGAATCATTGTCCTGTACCTGTTACTATTTCCTTTCACTGTATGTCTTTATAATCCCAGGGGCTTGAGGGTTTGGGGGTGGGGGAGAGGGAGGTTAATGCTTTTGTTTTTCTTATCTCTGCAGGGAATTGGCCCAACTCTTGCTTTCTGTGGTTACTTTTTTTCCTTTCTAAAATGTATTCTGGTTAGGAAAGCAGACTCCCATCAAAAGTGGCCTGTGTTCAAACACCACATCCCGGCATTGGTGGAATTCTTGTAATATCAGTTTGCCTTTGATAACTTTCATCCCCAAAACACCTACTGCGCGTACTTGCAATGAACAGCACAGACCCAAACTCTCATCTGTGGGAACAGAGACCAGTATCGATGGCAACAAAGCCCACAGGCAACTATTTCTTGAGCTGAAAGAAAGCTCTTTTACTTATCTAGTGGGGCATCAACTCAGTAGAGACAGAATTATCCCTATAAAGCTGTAGAAATCATGTGCCTATCACTACTAAAATGGAGCTGCCTTTGGGGGTGGAGGATGGGAGCCAGCTTAACAGCAAGGAGAGGAAATGGAAAATCCTGGCAAAGCCCTGCTCTCACACAAGCGTCTGTGGGATATTTTAACACACATGCAGATGGGACTTGTGGTTTATTGTCCCCAGTCATTCAAAATTAAGCTTGTTCCAGAGCTTGAGTCTGCCTTATCCCATCTGGGACTGTGGGCATGGGATAGTATGGCAGTATGAGTGCAACAGAGAAAACAGATGATCCTCTAGTGTCTGTATTCCACATTCAGTGGCTGGGCCCTAGACCGCGATGTTGTCTGCACTCTCAGGTTTGTCCTTGAAATAGTTGTGTGAAGGGCAGGGGAACAGCTGTGCAATGATTACTCAGCTGTCTACCTGATGTCTCCTGAGGTTTCTCTGATGTGGTTTGGTTTTGGAGGAGCTGGAAGTTGGTTTTTGTGACAGTCATTTGTCTTTGAATAACGCAGTATAGCAATTGTGTCCTGCTTTCTGCTTGCCTAGCTGGAGAGACAGACTCTGTAATGGAATAAGTGAAATGTTTATAAACATTTTCTCAGTTTGCTGTCCAAAAGAAACAGAACAGCAAGGATCTTCTTACCTGCTTTATGAATACCATTGGCATTTAAAGACAAAAAAAATCAAACTTTCCCCCCTTAAGGATTTCAAAGCATATTTATATGGTCATGTCACTGGCTGCAAAAATGCAGCCACCCCTGTAGTAGGGTATAGCATCTGGTTAACAGCTCACAATAAAACTTCAGGGTAAAAATGGAAAAATAACAACATCCAGTTGAAACTGGCAAGGGGTTTAAAGGAAGCAGCACATTTATTACTGAAACTGGAGTTTGGGCAGGAACACTCCACTGTTCTGTTCTGGAACAAAGTGCCAAAGGCTGTTTTAGTGGTCAGGCCTCCTGCTTTGAAATTAGGGATGGCTGAATATTTTCAGTTTTTCCATTTAAAAAAAAATAACTTTTTTCACAAAAGAACTGTATGTCTGAAAAATAAAGAGGATTCGAGTTCCATATACCGCAGCAGGACCTCATGGGAAGTGTAATTCAGTTGCCTTTTATTCCTATTCTCCTCTACGGAGAGAAGCTAAACTTAATCTGCCATGAGATTTTAGATGCTACCTATAAAATGGAGACAATCCTTGTGTTGTATGCTTAGATTGTAAACTCTTCAAGGCAGCCTTTACCTATATGGTTTCTGTCACAAAATGGGCCTTGATCTCACCTGAGGACTCTGGGCATTAGTGGAAGATAAACTATAATAAGCTTGTGCTGTTTAACAAAGCGGATTTGTTTTTGCCAATAGGTCCCTTGAAGTCCGCTACTTCACCTATGGGATCCTCTTTGGATGCGGCAGCTCCTTTGCTTTCCAGCCCTCTCTGGTAATTCTTGGTCATTACTTCAAACGTCGCCTGGGCTTGGCAAATGGCATCGTGGCTGGCGGCAGCTGCCTCTTCTCAATATCCCTTCCGTTCTTTTTGAAGACTGTCGGTAAAGCCATTGGGCTGGCTCACACTTTCCAAGTCCTCAGTGCCTTTATGTTTATCCAGATACTTTTGTCTCTGACTTTCCGGCCCCTCTTGCCTCCTTCTTCTGACTCTCACCAGGACGGGCGAGATAAACTGGCCAGCCGGAGCATGAAACAGCAGTGCGGGAACCAGATGCAGAATTATTTCAGCATGAGGGTTTTCAGGAAAAAGACCTACCGGATATGGGCTTTTGGAATCGCCACTGCCGTCCTGGGATACTTTGTACCTTATGTGCATCTGGTGAGCAAGAGGGAGTGAATAGGAATCTGTCTCTGTGCAGCTAGTCTGTTCAGCTAAAGCCCCTCAACCCGCCTCGCATTTCGGCTGGTGAGCTTCAATGCTGTTGACCAGTGCTAGTACTCAGCTGGAGAGTGCATCATCACAATGTGTAGTGGATGCAGAGGGAAAGGGTGGGTGGGTG